CCCTAGATTGTTTATGCTTGAACCGGTGTTGGATGACCCTGAACCGGACTGGTTTTGAATGAACTGGGGCTAACAAACAGGTTGGCAATGTTCTAGCAAAGATGGAAAAGAAGAAGAAGATGAATCAAAGGAGTAAGGCTGCTGGAGGCTAGAACCGGTAAAGAAAACACCTAAACCGAGATGAACTGAACCGGCCTGCAGTGGACCGGACAAAGGCGGAATGACCCGATCTAAACACTTATTAGGTTGGGCCTCAATTAAAACTTATGGACTGGGTTTGTTCCTTCCTAGGAAGCACGGATACTCCACCGAAGGTCGCAGTGGTGGTACATGTCCGACACGGATACGCGTTAGACACGACCGAACACGTGTTCGATATTTTTACAAGTGTCCTGAATAGTGATCAAGCTGTTTTGTAGACGGATACGGCTCAAATATAGGAGGGATATGGCTACAGATTGAAACCACAAAAAAAAAGGGGTAGAAGATGTTACAGACCTGAGATCAGCCACAAATGTCATCTTCCTCTACTTATACTACTCGCCACAGACCTGAGATCAAACAAGGGTACTTTGGGATTCTTCTTCCTGATGCTTCTAAAGGCTTGATACCATCAGATCTCTCATAGATCGGCTTGATGTGATTGGCTCTCTATCTCTGTGAGATTGGTGTGATCAGCTTGCTCTAGATGCTCGCAACATCGTTCTCTCTCTATGCGATTCGTGTGATCGATTTGCCCTAGAGCACTCGCAACATCGTTCTCTCTCTGTCTGTCTCTTCGTTATGGTGGTGTGGTATGGTGTCCCCGAACAATTAGATTTCTTATTAGTCTAGCCCACAACCCATTACGTTTAGCTCCCCCCAATTCATTGCTTATAACATTTAACCCACTTTTTAAATTTAATATTAACTCGTTTGTCCATTTATAACATATTAATTAATTCTACAATTTTATTATTAATGTTATTATATATATAAAAAATATTATATTATTTTAATTAATCGTAACCTCGTCGTACCCGTGTCCTATATTTTACAATTTTGTCGTATCCTCGTATCAATATCGTATCGAATACGACACCCGTGTTCATATCCATGCTTCCTAGATTCCTTAGTAAAACTTTTGGACTGAGCTAACCCTTCAGTTAAACTATTGGACTGGGTTGGGGTTCAAGTTACTACCTAAGGTTGGGCTCAAAAAAAGTGAAATCGGGTTGGAAAGCTGACCCGAGAAGTCGTCCTCTTCGCAGAGGCTTCGAACAAGCAAAAAAAAAACGAAACCCTAGCCACTCACTAGGCAACAACCAACGATCACCACAGCCACTCACTGTGAAAACAACCAACGATCGCCACAATCTTGCAACACACCAATGATCCACGACTTCACTGTCAACAATTCAAGTAACAATCAACAATTCAAGCAACAACCAGCAATTCCAACATCTGATGACAAGTCCATTAACAAAATAAGATTTGGAGAGCAGAAAAATATATTCTACAGGAACTCAGTAACTAAATTAGCATTCAACGCACAAAGAATCAAGCAACAACAAGCCCAATCACTGCAACAAATTCATTGTGTTTGATACCACATTGTGTCGTTGTCAACCACAATGGCACAGTGGTTGAGAAAAAAAAAATAAAAAAAGATGGATGTAAACTCAAAATTAATTTGCTTTGATACCAAGTTAAAATTTAAATAATTAAATATTAGGGTTTAGATTTAGGAAGGAGAGAAAGAAAAGAAGAAAGAGAGAGAGAGAGAGATTGAGGAAAATAATGTGTGCATAAGCTCATGTTGCTCTACACCTTCTTATGAGTAAATTACAATATTACCCAACAAAACTAACAATAAATAAGAACTCTAACAACAAAGAAAAAATCTCCTTCAAAGTCAATAGGATAATAGGGCACTAACGGGCTGCTCAATGCCATTAGAAGAATTGACTTTTGGTATCAACATGAACCTTCTTCCACTAATTTTGGGATGGTTGATACAATGATTAAGTTAGAATGCTGCATGATTACTTGAAGCTCCCAAGTTACATATCACATTGACCATAATTCATCATTGAAAGTACCTCTCAAAGAAAGTGAGTGTCATGATCAGCCCTAGCAAACACTGCTCAATGTACTCGCACATATATTTAGCTATGTGATTCAATAGATGTCATTCCAAAACCAACTACCCTTTCATGTGCAAAACAAACTTGTACAAGAAATGTAATAGCCGTGATTGTTGGAAAGTTCCTTGATATTTGCGAGGTAAGTCTTATAATGAAGGAGTTAAACAACCCCACCCCCCATCCCCCCCAAAAAAAGAAAAAAAAAACCTTTTCACTTTCACAACAGCCCTATAATTTGGATTTTGATACTAAGGATGAAATCAATATTATTTTTAGTAATGTGACCATGATTTTACCTCCAAGACCATAGACCAAAGTAGGATACACTTAAAGCATGAAAGCAAAGCTTCCATTGATTTGCAGAAATATTATTGCTTTAATATCTATCTAATATTACATATAGGAAGTTGAATTCTCAACTTATAAAAATAAAATAGTGGTCAAGATTGATCTAATTTTTATCCACTCCGATCAAATGGTATAAAATTCACAAACAAATCAATCAACACACCCCCGCTAATCTACACCTACCACTCTCTTTTCTCTCCCCAATCTCTTTCTTCAGGCACGAGGTTATTGCTAGTAATTTCACTAAATAAAATGGAAATCATAAATGCGGTCATGGCATCTTTAGGGCCGCAATGATTTTATAAAGAAATTCCCCAACAAATTAGATCTCATATTAACAATTATCTTGAAAACCATACAGAGCCTAAATGGATACCTGAGTGAAGTACTCGAGAGCCTGATTAAAGTCACCCTGAGCCTGCAGTTCCCTCGCTCTCTGCAGCAACTCCACAGCTTCAGCGACTTTCCGCGAGACCGCGGCGCTGGCGTCTCTCTCGGCTGGGCTCACTGGGTCGAAGATGGTAAGAGCCGAACACCAAGAACGGAATTGAAATGTAAGAGAAAAAGGGAGAGAGAATATCAACAAATTCCTCCTTGATATTGTTGGCGGGACACTAGAAGAGATGATAATGGGTTTTGAAAGGGTCTTTCGAAGGTCAAGTTTTGGGGTTTTAGAGGAATTAGGGTTTTTGCTGTGGTTTTGGGAAGTGTGGAGAAGAAGATGGGAAATGGTTGCTGTACATGCACCCATTTTTTTTGTGGGGTGGCGGTAATGCAGGGTTTGGTTTTCTCTGTCCAGATTTATTGTTTGTGTTCGTGGTAAATTTGAACTGATTTTCAGTTGGGACGTGTATATAAGGGAAAAAAAAAAGATTAATGGTACATGTAATTAAAAAATAAATTTAAAAATTAAACTTAAAATCAAAACTATTAGGTCTGAATAAATATTAAGACTCGCATATTATAATTATTAAATCTAATTTTTAAATTTATATAAAATTGCTAAAAAAAATGAGACGATTACATTGATATCAAATTTAAAGTTACGATTTTGACTACTTTATTTATCAATTTCTCATATTTTATCATATTTATTTCTACTCTACCTTTTAAAATAAATTATATAAATGACCTTTAATTATGACATTTGGGTTGATGAAGCTCTTAAATCATTTTTTTATATTAATATAGTCTCTTATATATTTAATTTCACTTCATGTTCCCTTTTGTCCAAATTTTTCATCAATTAAAGAGAATACCTCGTGTGTAAAGCACATGACTCAAAAATTAAGAGTGTTTAAGATCTCATTCGTGATATACACGTAAGTTGTTTTGTTAAAGTTAATGGTGACTTCAAATAGAAGGAGTACATTACGTCATAATGAATAACTAATTATTGTATATGTCTGAAGACACAAAGTAATAAAAAATGGTAAACAATAAACATATTTATTTTCATATTCAAAATTAAATCATAAATATAGAGAAAAAATAAAAGAATTTAAGTATCGACTTGTAGTAGGGATGAGAGGTGGTAGACAACAGTGGTAGACAACAGTGGTGATAATAAGAGACGGTGATGACAGCGACGACAACGGTGGTGGTGGCGATGGCGATAACGGCGGTGGTGATGGTGGGGGTGGTGGTGGCAGTGGCAGCAGGGGGGTGGTGTTGGTGTTGGTGGTAGCGATGACAGTAGTGGTGGAGCGGTTTCAAACACTATTTTTTTAAAAGTGTTTATGAAAAATAATTTTTAAAATTACTTTTAAAAAATTACTCCAAAGTCCAAATACACCCTTAGAAACTTATATTTTTTTTATTAAATTTAGAATGTTAATATTAGTTGTTAGATTAATTTTAAAGTTAAATTTAAAATGATCTTAACCGCGAATAACAAAAGTCATTTTATTTATTTTTGAAATTTGAATTATAAACTATTTTATTATATAGAGTGAGAAGCTAAAATGATATACAAATTAAGTCAGGAATGTAACCAACACAAATGGAGTAGTATAGTAGCTGTTTATGAAATTCACTCGACAGCTTAAAATCATCAAAGTTACCAATTAAATGGTTTAAATTGAAACTCAAAAAATTATGACTAATTTTTAAATATTAAAATTGCTCATGAAAACTATAATATTTTGAAATCAATTATGAATTAGTTATAACCTTTTTCTTTATAAGGTGTGATTTAACTTTTAGCGATAGGAAAGTATTTGAAAAATGCCCAGTTCTGATGATTTGACCAAAAAATTTAAAGTTCAGTTGCAAAAAGGTTGCTCTGAATATCTATTCATGTTTTGTCAGATATTCAAATTTCTCTAATTCATTCTGCTCTTAAATTGAAAACAAAACATACTCCATACAAAAAACTACTGTCAATAGTGCAGTTTGGCAGAGATAAATTGCTATCTTCAAGCCATTTTGAGAGGCTAATTTTTGAACTCGAACCTGTAATATTTCGCTATATCCAACGACTGCTTGTTATCGTCTTAAATCTAACCTCATCTCTGTGTTGTTAAATAGGATAAGAAACAATTATAGAGTTTTTTGAAGAATCCTTTACAAGAGAGCATTAGGACTTGGCCAGTATCACTAACCAAAATCACAGCCCTACTTCTATACAACCGGCAAGGAAATGAAACGTAAAACTTCATTGATTCTCTCCAGACCTTGACATGATCTAAAATAGCATTCCAACTACACAAATAACAATCTGGTAGGGTTCCACAAACTGTTCCTTAATATATACATTATAGGACCCTGGATTTAAAATTGGAGCTGACCACATTAGTCAAAAAGAAATTTGTGTGAATGTTCTGATTGAAGAACGTCAGCAACAACTGCTTGACGATGTATCAGGTTGTGGTGGCTTCTGTTTGAAGATGTTCTTTTTCAAAACCTTGGATCCCTCAGCCAAGAGGCTGGGTGTATCTAAAATCTGCAAAAGATGATCATTCACTTGTGCACATCATTCCCCATATCAAGATACGCAAGCCTTAAATGCATATACACAATGTGAGTACGTGAATAAGTGGCCGGCTTTGGGAAACTTTTCCAGTTGAGTCAATAAAAACTTAAAATAATTTTCACTCTTAATCAATATCTAACATATTTTTCCTGTAAATTGACAAAATTCATGCTTAATGCTAGACACTGATGTTAGGCCAAGAAGTAAGAGGAATGAAATACTATAAAAGAACATTCAAAACAAAGTAGTGAAATATGTAGAAGAAATAAACAATAACTTAAAAGGGTTGGGGGTCAAGATGAATTGGGCGCAGTCACTCTACTTTAGTTTTTTTTTTTGCTTCATGTGATCTGAACTCTGTTAGCATTAAGATATTATTCTCTTCCAATTCTTGTTAGTTGCTCTGCCAGTCATGTTGTTCTCTTTCAACACTCGGTATGAAAATTGGCTATAATAAACCATACTGAACACAAAATCAAGAAATATATGCATAATAAATAAGGATTGTTAAAAAAAAACTCAAAAAAAATTATAATGACAAAGGAGCACTTACAACAAATGGTGAGACAAATGGACAAAGCAACGAAAAAGCTGACGGACATATTCCAACTCCAACAATAAAGTAGAGGATTTTTTGTTTGACTTTTGTTACAAACTTAAGAGGAGTTCCAATGTGGTAGAAAAATCTATATCTATATTACTAATAAAAGTACAGTAATAAGAACCACTTTTAATTTCCAAATTTACCCTTAACTAATGTTATAATGTCAATCATATCTATAACATTTTATTTTTCATTTAATTTTAAACTAATTATTATTTTATCTTTCATTTGAATATTAAACTTTTACACTTCCTTTTATCTATCATTTAATTTTAAATTAATTAATTTTTAAATATCTATCCACTTTTGTTACTCCCTTTCATTTAATTATAAATTAATTAATTTTTAATAATCCACCAGCTTTTACTCTTCCCCATAATAACAAGTTTTATCATCTTCATATATTCATGAACCATTAAGTATAAAATATCTTCAAAGCATATGAATTTGCATCCTTATTTCTTTTTGAAATTCTCTCTGTCTCTGTCTCTGTCTCTCTCACACCCACAAAAAAGTTAGTATACTATTTTTGTGATCGAAAAAAGAGAAAATTAGGATAATGTAGCAAATAACCTTTTTGTTCTACAGAAATATTAAGTCTTATTTATCCATAGAAAATCACCCAAGGACAGAACGAGAAGCATAATAACCCTTTTCATTTTCTTCCACTATATTTACAATGTATGATATTTTTTAATTATGCAACATGATATTGATGATATAAATATACATTCTAATATGAGGTTATAGTTAACTTAATCATATATATGCTCATAGATTTAATAATACTTTTTACTACCTAAATTTGTTCAAGTGGTGCATTGCTAGTATATACAAATATACATATATATACATACTATAGATATATGTAGAGAGAGAGAGAGAGAGAAGAGAAAGACAAAGGGGAAGAATGACCAACTTGTACATGAGTGAAGAGAGAGAGAAGAGTTCTTATATAAAGGGTGATCTGTTTGGCTGATACAAACCTGCTTGTGCACTACACACAGATCTCTCTCTCGGCAGTAGTTTTGTTTAGGTGGTAAAAATATGAACCAAACCATGCAACGCAATGAGGGTTAACTGTAAGGTAGGACATCTGGCTTGGGCTCCCTAGCACTTTCTAAATTCTTTGTATGAAGACAGAGGCATCAATGCAACACATATCCACTTTTGTAATACACCATCTATGAAAAATTTCTTAAAATATTATGCATCAAAATTCGATGGGGTCAACTAACCCCAGTCCCTGTTAAAACAAAAAAACTGACCCCAGTAAATTAATGTGGTACCTCCTTTGATGAATATTACGCTAAAAGTTTTGTAGGTCATGACTTTGCTTAGAATTTGGGCCAAAAAGATACCTTGAAGCCTTCTTTAATCACTAAATTATAAAAACAAATAATTTTCCACTTCCTGCTTTTATTTCTGAAAATGAACAAGGCAAAATCCAGAAACCATTGAATCGTCATGTCATCTTTAGTTTTCATATGGTCCCAGCTTTTGAATGCGAGGATAAATGCTTTTAAATTTCTTGAAAATTTATTTACGGAACATTCTATATCATTCTAACTCCAGAGTTGGACAACCTAGTTCAGATTAGCATGATGGGTCAGCTCTATAAAACGTACAAAGTGGAATTCATCTAAGAAAGTGGGTCTGAAACAAGAACTACATCGAGTATACTTAAACCTATAAGCTAATTCCATAGTAGTGAAAAAGCATACAGATAACCTACAACTGCAGTTGCAGAAGGCATCCAACTAATCTGCCATATGCTCCACAAGGTTCAATTTCCCTAGCATACATTCAAAGCAATGTGCACTAATGAAGTTCCATTCCCATGCAAAGGTAATATCAGTACAATACTTGCATGTGCATTTGTTCATTCGCATGCACAACCACAATATGTGATCAAAAAGGAAATAGAAAAGTAAACCTCTTTTATACCTTCAAGACGAGTTCTTCGAAGCATTGCTGAACATTAAGTCGGGTTTTTGCACTGCATTCGATAAAAAGACATCCATATTCCCTGGCAAAATTTATCCCTTCTTTCTTCATTACAACCCTTTCACTTTCCTGTAAGGAAAAAAAACCTTAGACTATGAGAGATCCTCAAGTGGAAGCTCCAATATGCTACATTGAACATTGTGCGACTCTGTAAATGTTCAACAAAGACAAGGAAGAATGTGCCAAATAGTAGGAAATGTGATAAAACTAAGGCTTCTCACAACATGCCAAGGTGCCATGTAAAGGGACAGACAAACAAAAGGAGAGGAGAAGGGGAGTCCTGAAATAGGAGTTTTGCTGCCTCATAATCTGGAGGTCTTTTCTCAATCAGCCATCAACCCGCTGAATACCTGTAGATACCATATAACCCGATACCACGTCATTACACCCCATTCACCGGGATCATATCAAAACGGAATTCGGCCAAAATCTTCTTTGCACGGGAGTAGTACCCAATACATAACCTCTGTATATATTAATCATAGTACTGAAGTTCAAAAATTAATTTTTTGGGTAGATTTACCAGTACCAAGTCTTACAGGTACTGGTACCTAGCTTCCAGAAGGCCCAGGTACCGGTACTCCTTAACAAAGGTGCTCACAAGTACGGTACCCCATTGACAGTGGACCTAAATACTAGTACCAAGTCTTACAAGTACCTATACCTATCTTCTAGAAGGCCCAGGTACCAGTACTCCTTATCAGAGGTACCACTACCTTTACCCAAAAAATTGATTTTTGAACTTCAATACTTTCGAACCTTCACATCTTGAACTCTTTTCTTTAGATGACATAAATAGCTAAATTTTAAGTCATTAACTTAGGGATTTGGACCTTGGAATGGTCGTATGACTAATAAATACACAGGTTATGTATTAGGTAGTGCTCCCATGCAAGGAGAATCTACCCGAATTCCGTTTTGTTACGATCCAAGTGAATGGGTTGTAATGACACAGTATCAAGTTACATCATATCCATAGATATTCCGTGGGTTAATAGGTGATTAACAGGTTGAGAAAGGACTCCCGGATTTTGGGGTGTCACAGATTATGTATTGGGTAGTGCTCCGTGGAAAGAAGACTCTGTCCGAATTCCGTTTTATTATGATCGCGGTGAATGTGGTGTAATGACGTAATATCAGCTTATACGATATCTACAAGTATTTTGCGGATTGATGGGTGATCAACAAGTTGAGAAAACCCCCCCAAATTTTGGAGTGTCAAAGGAGTATCCTTCTTAAGTGGGGCAAAAAGTTAAAATTTTGAAACATTATAACATGCAAAATGGTAGTTCACTGAATAATAATCTTGTCAGCATTTGTATACACTTTTCGCTTCAAATCTTATGCTATTTTTTTCCAGCGTAAAAATTGAGTTCTTTTTGAGAGAAGATAGATCATTTCTCTTTTTCCTGCACAAACCTCAAATTTGCATGCTCAAAGGATCAGAATCATAGCCACTAAGTCATCTTATATCAGACAATCTGAAATATTTCGCTACTCTCCCCTAGTTTGTGTAAAAAGTTTAGTATCTACAATTGACTGAAATGCTAAACCACATGAAGCAAGCGTTAAAACATTTTGGTTATATGAAGGACTTAGGACATTAGAGCAACTGTGACACAATCCCACCCCACCCCTCATCCCAGAATCGGGCAAATACAACTTGAAGGGTCAGAACATGGCCATGCTGATCCTCCATTGTGTCATAAACAAGCAGGAATGTATGAATATGGCTAACCACAGAGAATCTAATAAACGTATATGCATACATCCCTCTGTATGTGTGCCTAGTGTGTCTTAGTCACACGCATGCACGAGAGAGAGAGAGAGAGAGAGAGGGAGAGAGAGAGAGAGAGAGCAGTCACTCATCAATCATTCCACAGAATTTGTCACTTTTGACAACACACAAATATTTGGTTCTTTTGCTTTAAGCCAAATTCACTACTCTAAAATGCCAGCCACTCAATACAATGTTGGTCTATTTTACAAATAATAGTAAAGCATTTAGACTGTAGCTTTCCATAATAAGTACCTTGTCAACTTTGTTTCCAACAAGCATCTTGATACAATCTTGATTAGTTGAGTAGAGATCAATCTCCTTGGCCCATATGTCAGAAAGATTGGTAAATGTTTCTCGTCGGGTTACATCATAAACTGTTACAATTGCAACCACCCAAAGCAAAGTTTTACAGAGAAATTCTCAAAATCTGATGTTTGTAAGACTAATAACATTGTCAGCCACATGAAGGAACATGAAATCATTTCATCAGCTGCCCAACTTTTGTAGGATTGAAAAGCAGATTTTAGTTATGACTTATGAACATATGATCCTTTTCATGAGCTCACTTTCACCACTTCTCTATAACATTATTCCTACCAACTACAATGAATGAAATGACCATCATACCCTGACGTGTTTTCCTTGTCCTAGCGTTAATATGATTTATGCACATCGTAATCCAGTACCTTCCTGGTAATCTAGATTGAAGGAGTGCTGAGGACAGACTCTCTTTGCTTTATATGGTAACTTTGTGAGGACCTTATGGTGTAACTAAATGTGAAGGATTGAAAGTACCAGATGGTAGATGAAATAAACTGTCTAATGTAAAATCAACATGGAGGGAAATTATGATCATCAAAATGTATTCTTTGTTGTATTTGGCTTTTGTAATTGCTGATGTGCATGCTTATCATTAAATGCAATAATGCAACGGAGATGGCTGAAGTAGTAGTGAAACATCCAAGATCTAGATTATATCCTTATTTCATGGCCAGGGATAAGTGTTTAGTTTATCTCAACAATTCTTTCAGGATTTGCAAATGATGTCTTTAAAACCACAAGACATGAATTTAAAATCACCGCAGCTTCATTCCTCAAACGAAACTAGCCATAAGCACTGCCCAGCTTATAACTGAAGTCTTAAACAAAGGTAACAAATGAACCTGGCTGGCTTGGCATTAACGTAACTAACTTTGCTTATGTCCCGCTTATAACAAATGCTCTCCAGAGATTAAATTCTATCTGATAGTAATAGATCATGGGATAAGTCATATTTTGCAGGGGTTTGCTTGTCTGCAAAATGATAAATTGGCTAGTGGGTGTGCAGATGGACTCTAATATTTTTGGTCGGGTTTCAGAGGGAAAAAAGTGGATAGAATTTTGACTTTTATCAATAACTTAATACTGCTGATTCACATGTAACATAGGGAAGTCAGTCCACTGCAGTTTTTAGCCTTATCGTGAGGCAATAATCTACCAATTCACTAAAGAGAAATCAGAGGGTAGAGTAGAAAAAATACCCATAATGATTCCTTGTGCTCCTCTGTAGTATGAACTTGTCAATGTCCTGAATCTCTCCTGTCCAGCTGCATAGTAAGACATTCAGCAGCAGCATGCTAATTTGGTGAGTGAAATTTTTCTGACTTTCTCTTTATGGAGAAAATTGTCAAAATAATCTTAGTTCTTTAGGCAGAATCTCGTCAATCAGAACAAACAAGTTATCAATATCTTATGATGGCAAGTCAATCAGAATCCAGTTTGGGAAAAAAAAAAGTCAATCAGAATCAATTCCAGATCAAGTCTTTATTATCTCTGATGAACCAGAATAATTGCTCAGATTGTGCTGCATGCCTATTTTTCCTTGTACTTTGATATTCAAAATCTGTGGACTAGATGAACTAATTGAGCTTGCAGAAAATGACAATTGACTAGATTGTAACAATAATCTCCTTAGACCATATGCTATGGTCAATAATTGCAGCACATGATACATATGTCCAGTCAAATACGTAAAAATCTAGCATGGAACCCATTCCTGGACAGGTCCTTATTTTCCAAACCCAATTGCTTCCAACTTTCTGTTCCTTGTGCTTCACTTTCCAAGAGAGCAGAAAATTTAACCAGAGTAGGAGGAGCATGGACCATATAGCTCAAAGATCATATAACCATACTGACAGAGAGAGCAACAATATCATATTCAGGACTACAGCAGGGGGCCTTCAATTTTCTACCATCACCAATTCATCTATTAAAATAGTGTAATCCAAGGACTAGCCCACTCTATTACCATCTAACAACCTTCATTGAATAGCAGAGCTAATCATACAACTTACAAGTAGCTAGTATACAATTCTGGCAACTGTTGCAATCCATGTGTGGGAATCCCACATTGGAAGGAAAAATAATATGAATGAGTTCAATGAGTTCACTATCTATAGGCTTAGGCTTTAAAATGATTTGTCTTCTTTGATGGACTCCTCTATCTCCCAACAATTGCATCAAGGCGGTGGCCAACAATTCTAGGTGAACTCTCCATTAAGCAATGTAGCGTGCTTGTATTAGTAACGACTCATAAGAATGAGAATGCTTGGTGGTACAATCATGGAAACGCAGCACTGGGGGCACGGGGGCCTCTGGCTCAAGTGCTCTCAATAGAGTCGTAATTCAAGGCCTCATGCAGAGCAGTTAAAAACTTGATTCTTGAGAAAGTGGACTCTTGAGAAGAGTGATTTGGACCACTGCTTGTTGCAGGCGGTGGATTAGTCTCAGGGGGGGAATTAAAAGTCCCAATATTCACAGGTAAGGCGGAAATTGTTGAGATATCACGTGTGAGAATCTCACATGGAAGAAAAAATAAGTAGAACGATCTTAGTGTTTATATACTGGGCCACTTTTGATGGACTGCCTATCTCCAAATAAAGATTTCTTAAATCCCTAAATTACCACACATCATGACCATAATATCTAAGAAATGGGCAATCATACCTGTAGCATACCTTATCTAGTCTTCATTTTATTACTATTCTGGTATCCACATCCCTAGAATCCAAAATCTATTAATTTAAGCACAACATGACACATCAAAGGAGCAAAAGATGTATCTTAGATACTTCAAGAACATAGGTGTCGATATACATTGTCCTGCCCTAAAACCAGAACTAGAAAATTTCATTTTTCCCATTGCCTGTTTCAAGTTATATCGGTAATTAATTTCATGAGCATTACAAGAGTTTGAAACCTTATACGATACCCCATATGTTTCAATATGACAAAATTACCTCTCCCTGACTGGCAAGCATCTCATATTAGGGCACTATATGAACCAAGATAGTCAAGGAGTAAGCTGATTAAGCTAGGCCCAAAAGATTAACAATGTTTAGAATAAAGCTAATCTTGGTTATTAATTTCCAAGAGATTTAAAGCAAATCATCTAATTGGTTCCTCAGACAGTCTTCAATGATCCCCTATGAAACCCTAAATAAGTGTCGCTCTACTAGCTTGACTTGTCTTACAATTATATGTTTAAGCAATGATCTTTAGACATTAGATCACTGCAATAGATATCCATGTAAGACAGAATCCCATCAAGGGTCCCATGGAGCAACAGACTAACACCAATGATAGGGGATTGCTAAAACCTACATATATCAGCTGCAAGGAATCTGATGCAAGGTACAACAAATAATACATAGCAACTTCCAACTAACTTATTCCAAAATAAGTTTTTCTCTTAGTCTCATGTTTTTAGGAGAACTTTTGAGAATTTTACACCCAGATTCAAGAGGTATTAATGAATCAGTTCAACTTAAGTCCATGGTTACAATACAAGTTTGACAATCAGAATTTGATGATTATACTGCAAATACTAATGCCACCGGTATTTAGATGATAAATGAGACATAACATTAAGACATGACAAGAAAAATTCAGATCATTAACTTCCGCAAAATTTGAATAACATGCACTGACGTACACATCTATTATTACCTGTATCCCAAATTGCAAGCTTCAATTTTTTACCCCCGATATCAGCATATTTTACCTTGAAATCAACACCTACGTGAAAAGAAGACATGTAAACCGGGAATTTAGTCCCAGTGCCAATGTCAATGGATGTATAAACGCATACACATATACCGATTGTGGGGGAGAGATCTTGGAAGGAGTCGGAGGTGAAACTGAGAAGGAGACTGCTCTTGCCAACGCCCGAGTCACCGATTAACAGCAATTTGAACAAGTAATCAAACCCCACTGATTCTTGACTTGACGGAGAATCCATCAATCAATCGAATTCAACCTTGTTGATCCAGTACTTGGGTATTGAGTATCGACAATTCGGATCGATATATAGAGAGACCAGAGAGCGAGAAATCTGTACTGGAGGAAGTCAGGAAGAGATTTTGTTTATTTACACCTTTTCGTTATGGCCTTTTCTAATGCTTCGTTTGGCAGCGGGATGGAAATTAGGAAGATACGTTTTCTTTCCTTCTTTTTTGTTGTATGAAAAATAAAAATAATAATTTTTTTTTTTTTGCCTAATTAGATTAGGGGTGACAACCAAATTATATCGTGTCAGATTCGTAGAGTCATTACGGATTATGTCGAATATTAGTCAAATTTAACTTAACTCATTTAACTAATTGTGTAGTATCGAATTACGAGTCGACGCCTTTATTTTCGTATTGAATTCAAAGTCGTGTTATTATATTGACTCGAAAACTTTCACACTTAGTTAATATAGAAAAAATATATATTTTTTAATTTAAAATTTTTATTTTCAAATTTTTTAATATATATATATATAAATATTTTATTATTGTATTTTTATATGAAATTAATATATACATAATATATGTATATATAAAAAGATATATAGACAAATAAGATACATTTTAACACAAATAATTAACTTTTCATCCACTTACCTTTTGATTTTAGAGAGATTAATTTTGGTGAGTTGGAAAGAAAGTTAATCCATCAATTTTTTCACTATTTCTTACCAAACATGATGTTTTACTTATCTTTTAAACTTTTCATCCTTTCATTTTTCCATCGTATAAACGGAGCATAAAAAAAAAATGTATTCAATACAATACAATGGTTATACCATATCTTCACTACCACTTAATATCATCATCTGATTAGAAAATTATAAGCGAATAAAATATTTGTAACTACCACATTCAATCATCAACTATTTATTTGTTATTTTTTAATTGAATAATAATATTACGTGACACATTGCCATTTTTTAATTTGATGATAATACCACGTGATAGTGGTAAAATGGTATCACCGTTACATTAAATATTTTCTCTACTATTTGATTATCTAAGATAAAATTATGATTTCATCCCTAATTACAAAAAAACTTCGATATTGAAACTGGAGCTTATTGATTAATTGAAAATGTGGTCGAGTAATGGTTAGCCGATCAGAAATAAGGAATAGTTGACCAGTGTGTTCAAATTTTAAAGACTAGTCATTAACTAGTTGATTGTTGCACCCACAACTACAAATAAAATATAGATGCCATTAGTTTCGGATGGTTCTTGATTGGTTTATGATTTCCGCCGCAACCCTATTTTGTGTAAAGCGGCAACCTTCATTGGATATACAATACAGCAATGCATGGGCGGAACTTTTAAATGAACAACATCAGCAACAACTGCTAGTCGATGTAATAGATTGTGGTGGTTTCTCTTTGAAAATGCTCTTTTTCACACCCTGGGAGCCCTCAGCTAAGAGGCTGGGTTTATCTAAGATCTGCAAAATATATTCATCATTCATGCCATCAATAATCTCCATATCAAAATACTCAAAACATATATTGTTCATAATAAATATACAAATATACATACACGTCTCTCTCTCTCTCTCTCTCTCTCACTCTCTCATCATTCGAAAACTTAAATTGTGCAATTGTAGAAAGAGATAATGTTCACTCTTATCAGTATCGTGTATCTATTTCCAACAATTTGACAAATTATAAAACTACTAGAGCTTAATGCAACATACGACAATTAGATCAACAAGTTCAACTCAATAAATCCTTTATTCCAACTACTTGGACTCATTAGATCAACAAGCAGACCATAAAACTTGCAATACAAATGGAAGAAACATCAATTACAATGATAAATCAAGCTAAAATAGAGCACTTAGAACAAGAAGTTATGTGTATTATTCAGAAAAACCATCAAAATAACTTTTATTTCTCCTCATATTCTAGTCCTCACGGCTAGAAAAAAACAAAAATTGACAAGTCCAGATTTAGATCAAGTCTGTGCCCAATTCATGGGTTGAGCCCAAACAATCAAAAGGCAGATCTGACCTAACTCATGGCCTCAACTGATGAGTCCTGGAAGAGTCAATACACGTGGGAGTAAACATTGGAATAACTATTATTTGAAGAAAACACCTATCCTCAATTATAGCTATCCTCCCTAATAAATTAGTACCTTGACCCTCACATTACTGCCTCAACTAGGACTTCGTGCTTATAAATTGTAAACCCTCTACATATGAGGGATACACACAGACATTTATCTCTTACATAGAATCACACGCACCTTACCATGAGTGTACTCTTGCCCTCTCTCTCTCTCTCACCACACCCTTGAGCTTGATCATGCTTTCCCTTCACCTACTACTTTATTCTGTCATTAACAAATTTTTCTAACCACGTCGCAGCCTTCAAAGTAAAGTAGGTCACCCTGATTGAACCACTTTATATATGTGTTTCTTGTGTTAATCTCATATGTATATTTACTGCATTTATTACCTTTATTAATTACTCGACAGACGGTGCATAAATTTATTTTTGTGCATCATCAGCTTGACACCGTCTGTGAAAAACGATTTTGATTCTCAACTTACAATCTTCCTACCTACAATGACAATCACAACCAAATTCATGAACCACCAAGCAAAAGATGACCTGCCACATCATGACAAGGTCCCACCATCACCGGCGAAAAGTAGACACGAGAAAATTTTATTTTTTCACTAATTTGTGTTTAAAACTCAAATTCAGTGAAAAGTAAGCTTTTTTTTTTTGACAATATTTGGTGCCCAAACTGCCAGGTGGTATGATTGTCGTATATCTCAAAAAAATACTCAGATTCAAAAAAAAAAAAAAGCTCAAAAGGACAACTGAGTGCGAAGTTATGGTCGTTCAAAGTTTGGCTATTTCTTTATGCTTTTCTAATACTCCACCTAGTGCCAGCGCCCAGCATCTCAACGCTAGTAGCAGAGCCTGCAAATGTGTCAACCCTGACTTGATCCGAAATGTGTACACTTAAGTGCAGGCAGTCAAGTTGTAGTAATAATTCGGTGAAGTCCGGAGTTGAATCCACAGGGAACTATAATTGGTGTTTTGAAGCAAGCAAGAATAGAGACCAAGTAACTTGGAAATTTCGAGTGTTTGGAGTGGTGAGATTTTCTTAAATAGAATAGAAGATTCTTTTCAAGAGTTTTCTAGACAAAATATAAGATTTTTAAAATGTAATAGCCACCCTTTAGCTCGAGGATCAGGACATGTAATAGAGTATCCGCTTTATTATGTTTGTGCTTTATAACTCAATTAACTCTCGTGTCAACAACAAGTAAATCGGAAGATAAAGATGGACTGTGAGAATTAAGCACATGATTCCGATGCCTTTCTAGAAGTTTACAAGAATTGTCTATGTCGAGACTTAACCCGTCTACAAACAAACAAGTGTTTCTACAAGGCATCCAACCATGACATTAATGATCCATTCTCTGAATAAAGCGTAATAATGGTGGAGATTGAAAGGTTGTCATGAAAAGCTAGCGGGGGTACTTGCATTGAACCAATGGGTATTTATATGCAAGAGTCATCCGTATCATAGATGGAGTCCTTGGTTATACAAAGTACCTTAACTTTACTAGATACATTCAATCGTCCAATGAATAAATGGAGTATAAAACATTAAAACATGAAGAAGTTTCACAAACATAACTTTCGGATAATCTTTACATACTCATCATCTCTTACAAAAGAGTGAATGAGGAACTACTCACTTTTCATAGCCTTGGCAAAGCTAGAAAAGTGAGTGCTACTCATCCCTCTAAGTAGAGAAACTATTAAGTAAAGAAAACTAAACAAAGAGCTTTTCTTCAATGAAAAATAAGTGAATCACTTTCCACCCTTCATGGCTTTGGTAAAGCTCTAGAAAAGTGGAAGAGTTTCATTCTTCTAAGAAAGAAGGATGCTCAAGCAATAAAAGTGAAATACATGAATAATAAAAGTAGAAGAAAGCTAATTGCTTTTGGAGGATTTCCATCACAACCAAAAGATGAACTACCTCTCTTGATACTTTGTAAATAATAGCAAGTACAACTATAAGAGGAGTCTAAGCCTCTATCATGGTTGTCACAACATGAATGTAAAGACTTAGCATAAATAAATGAAAGACTTTAACTACAAGGGGAGTCTGAGCCTCTATCATGGTTGATATAAATGTAAAATGAAAACATAAACATGAAATATTCAAGAACTAGATTACTAAAATACTCTTACTTACAAGAAAAAAGATTGTTCCCTCTTTTCTCTACAAGAGGAAGAATGCCCTTTAAGCTCCCAACATGAGAGTATTTATAGGCAAGGAAAGGGAAGGGGGTAGGAGATAAGAGAGGATGAGTGAATAGTGTTTGTCGCCCATAGGAATCAACTATTCTGCAGGCAGTCTGCAGAGGACGTTCGAACGTTAAGTCTGTCTTTTCTTCAAGGACGTTCGAACGTGAGATGACGTTCGAACGTTGTCTGTGTCTTTGCTTTGAGGGCGTTCGAACGCCAGATGGGGTTTGATTTCTTCCACTCAAGTGACCTGTGGTCACTGACTTGGTTACTTCTATACGTCTTGAACAACCTTGACTTTACACTCAGCAACTTGGTCCTCAGTCACTCGAGACAACGTTCGAACGTGGAGTGACGTTCGAACGTTGTACTCAAGTACTTCTGGTTCTTCTTTCTTTACTGGAACATGCCAGGTTCCAGTGGTGTAGTCTTCTCAGGATTCCAGAGGACGTTCGAACGTGATTTAGCGTTCGAACGTGGTACTCAAGTACCTCATCATTTTCCCTTTGTTGACTGCAACATGCCATGTCTCAGCAGCTGGTCTTGGCAGGGTTTTAGAGGATGTTTGAATGTGGATTGAAGTTTGAACGTTCTTGTTTTGTTCCAACCTTCTGCAATTTTGTTCCCTATTGTGCCGGTGTTATATTTAAGTGTGATTTTTGTTGTTCTTGAGCCTTTGTTCATTTTAGGACCTAAAATGTCATTACTTAAACTCCATCAAAACACAATTAGTCCAAAAAGGCATAGTAAAAATTGTTAACTTTACGCACAAATCAAATCCCTGTGTCGCTTAGACCATCTTGGCATTGCCCAGTCCGTTCTGCTCCAAAGGTGTCGCCACATCCTCGGTGCCCATGCCAGCCAGCCAGCATCACTACATGTGTGGCATCGCCCAGCCTGGTGTCGCCTCTGAGCCTACGTGGTGTCGCCAAGCTTGGCACCACCTTTGCACCTGCAAGGCGTCGATTAGAGTCTACTTCTCTTGGTGATTGCGTCGCTTGGTGCCTACCTCTGCCTAGCTAGTGTCACTTTCAGTTGCCTAGGCCACCGTCCTTGGTTGTCTCAAATGCCAAGGGTGTCGCCCAAGTCACAACGCAGTTGCCTCCTCTTGCCCCTATGCGGGCATCACTGCCTCCTATGCTGAAGTCCAACGACATCACTGCCACCAGCCAGCTCGCCACGTGGACCTATGTTACCCTGTGCCTCCCTGGCACCTTATGTGTTCTAGGCATTGCCTAACAGGTCCCTAGCGACCAACGCGTCCCTGTCGTCGCTCAGTGCTACCCTGGCGTCGCGGATCAGTGTCGTGGCGTCATTGTCCAGCACCTTTGCGTCGCTGCCTAGTGCCTTGGTGTTGTTGCCAAATGCCTTGGTGTCTAACCCCTGCCAGTTGCTCCAGCGTCGCTGCCCAGCACATTGGTGTCTCCCAGGCTAGCCCCAACTCCACCAGCGCCGAAGCTTGCCTCGGCTGGCTAGCTTCAACCCCACCGGCGTCGCCTAACAATTCACAGCAATCACTGCCTTGCAGACCCTTATTCTTGGCATTACCCAGCCCCCTCTGACGTCATCACCTGTGACGTCTGTCATTGATTTCATCGTCCACCCATTTGCCTTCATGCTCATTTTTTGCAACCTCCCTCATTTGTGGAATGGAGAGGATAAGAAGGGGATAGGTCAAATCTATATATACTGACCTTTGAAGCCCTAAGGATGATACCCTTACCTTGGGGCTTGCCTACCTTGGCGCCTCCCTTCTTGCCCGTTAGGCGCAACACCGCATCACGTGCCATCTCGTCCAGTAGTGCATCTTGTGATCGGTGTCACACCTCTTGGTGTATCAGGGAGCCTCGCCTCTCACGATCGACTACCCTTGCTATCCTATCAGCACCCTTTGACTACCCTTGCTATCCTCTCTCTTCTCCTATCCACCTCTTGGGAGAGATCCTCCCGAGTCATGCCCGACCTCACTCTACCTCTGTTGTTATACAAGTAGCCTTATTCTCCAGCTCAACGGTTCTCTCATGAGTCGTATGAAGCTTGACCTAACTCTGCCTCTATTCTCACACAAGCAGCCTCAATTCCCAGCTTAACGGCTCCCTCGCGAGTTGTCAAAAGCTCAGCCTCTTCCTGTCTTTACTCTCATGTAGGCAGCCTCAATCTTCAACTCAGTAGCTTTCTCACGAGTCGTCAAAAGCTCAGCCTTTGCTCTCACGCAAGCAGCTTCATTCTCTAGCTCAACGACTCTCTCATGAGTCATCAAAAGCTTGGCCTAACTCTGCCTCTGCTCTTATACATACAGCCTCAATTCCCAATTTAACAGTCCTCCTGGCCTCTTCCTGCCTTTACTCTCACGCAGACAACGTCAATCTCCAGTTTAGTGACTCTCTCGCGAGTTGCCAAAAACTCTCCCACTTTCTACCTCTGCTCTCACACAAGCAGCCTTATTCTCCAGCTTAGTGGCTCTCTCACGAGTCATCAGAAGCATGGCCTAACTCTACCCCTATTTTCACACAAGCAACCTTATTCTCCAACTTAGCGGTTTTCTCGCGAGTCACCAAAAGCTCAGCCTTTTTCTACTTGTACTCTTATGCAGGCAATCTCAATTCCTAGTTTAGCGGATCTCTTACGAATCACCAAAAGCTTGGCCTCTTCTTGCATCTGTTCTCACGCAGGTAGCCTATGTTTTCAACTTAATGGTTTTCTCGCGGGTTACCAGAAACTTGGCCTTATCATGCCTCTACTCTTACGCAAGTAGTCTATGTTTCCTACTTAGTGCCTTTCACATGAGTGGCCAAAAGCTCAGTCTCTTCTTGCCTCTGCGCTCATGCAGGCAGCCTTAATCTTTAACTCAGCGTCTCTCTTGCGAGTTGCCAAAAGGTTGGCCTCTTTCTGCCTCTACTCTCATGTAAGCAACCTCTTTCTATAGCTTAGCAACTCTCTTATGAGTCGTTAGAAGCTTGGCCTAACTCTGTCTCTATTCTCATGCAAGTAGCCTTAATCCCTAACTTAGCAGCTCTCTCATAAGTCGTCAAAAGCTCGGCCTCCTTCTGTCTCTATTCTCATGCAAGCAGCCTATGTCTTTAGCTTAACGCCTTTTTCATGAGTCGCCAAAAGCTCAGCATCTTCTTGTCTCTGTTCTCACATAGACAACCTATGTCTCTAGCTTAATAGCTCTCTCGCGAGTTGCTAGAAACTCGGCCTAATCCAACCTCTACTTTTACACATGCAACCTATGTTTCCAGCTTAGTGCCTCTCTCGTAAGTGGCCAAAATCTCAGCCTCTTCTTGCCTTTACTCTCACGTAGGCAACTTTAATCTCCAACTCAACGGCTCTCTCGTGAGTCGCTAAAAGCTAAACCTCTTTCTACCTCTGTTCTTCCGCAAGCAGCCTCATTCTCCAGCTCAGCGACTTTCTCATGAGTTGTCAGAAGCTTGGCCTAACTCTGCCTCTGCCTCTGCTCTTACACAGGTAGCCTCAATCTCTAGCTTAGCGGCTCTGTCGTGGGTCATAAAAAGTTCAGAATTAAGGTTTACCTTCAAGATCGTTGTGGATTGATCTCGTCTAGCACGAACACAGAGCCTAAAAACAAATGCAGAAGACAGCTTGACAACCTTGAGGCCTTTTGTTGTATATCCCCCAATGTCAGAATCCGAATGCAGTGTGGGCTGCCAGAACCTCCGAACTTCAGCTCTCCCTTTCAGCCTCTCTAAAAAATGTGAGTAATGAATTGATGCTGATTTAGAGAACTTAGACGTTTATATATAGGCTACAACAGAAACTCTAAGGAGAAATAAGGACCGAGCTTCCAATGGGCTTAGAATTCCTATGTTCAACCCAGAACAAACACCCTACAGCCCATTAATAATAAGTCAGTCCACTAAAAACTTATTATTGATCTCTTGAACCTTATCTTAAAATTATATTCGAACTCCTTATTATTATATACTCAATAATATCCCTTCGTTTAAGATTACAGATGTCCATCAATTAAATAAATTAATGATAATAATATTTAATTGACTTCTTTTATTCCTTGAGACCTTATCACTCAACTTATTTGTTATGTCAGATAATTAAATCCACTTGCAGGGTTTAAATGGACAAAACTTATGAACTTTCTCAAGAGGATATCATCAACCCATTTAAATACTAGGAAATAGTTTCCTTTAATAATTAATTTTCACCATACAAATAACATCGTCTTCCTTATTGACTCAATATGAATCTCACTTTTTGATGAATTAAAGTGACAAACATTATACGTACGTGAAAATTAAATATTTTGAGATTAAAAGTATAAAAAATCATAATAATCATGAAGTATTTATTATCTTATTGAATCAGTACAAGATAATAATCTCAACATAAGTCTGTTCAATACACAAAGTGTACTAGTGCAATAATTTGAGACATCAAATAGTCTCCTACAGTTAGGACAGACTATGTCAAAATATTACACAACAATCGTATTGTTGGTGTGTTCAATTTCATCTAGGATTGTGAACCTATACTCATATTATACAAGGATTTGATAATCTGATATTTTGTGCATAAGCCAAACTCTACACACCAGATTATCTACAATGTAAAATATAAGATACACATGCATACCATATATTAAATAGAATGCAAATATTTTATCCATATAGATTCTTAATAAAATGAAAAGAACAAACTTCTATTAATTAATAAAATGAGTGTCACTACAAAAAATAAATTTTTAGCATACTACTCTATCAATTAAATACCACACTTCGAGGCTAGAGACGCCCAACTCCCTTATACCTACTCCTCTAGAGCCCTTAGTGCTCTCGTTACCCACACCTCAGTCTATTGCACCATGGATCCTCTACCAACGAGGACAACGGTGCAATACTAGTACTAATTAGCCCCTATGATCACTCCACCCCAAGTGAGGCTTGTTGTCTCCCTTCAATCAGGTAAAGAGAGACTTTGAAGCGAAGGAGGAAAAGATGCAAGAATACTTGTCAGTGGTCCAAGCTTTATTGAAAAATTTAACCATTTCCAGATCCATCGTGTGCCTAGAGAGGAGAACGCCATGGTTGATGCCCTCACCAAGTTCACAGCAGGCTCAAGGCAGAGGAGGACGATGTTAATTGTGCATCATTTGAAGCCAATTGGATGACACCTATCCGAGCCTACCTAGAGGAATACGCTCTCCCAGACTACCTAATGGAAGCCAAAAAATTGAGAATAAGAGCATCTAGGTATGTCATTTTACGTGACACACTTTACAATAAAAGTTATTCACTGCTACTCCTCTGTTGTTGTGCCCCTGACGAAGCTGACTTAGCAATGAGAGAAATTCACAAGGGGATATGTGAAAATCACTCCAGAGGGTGGACACCAGCTCAAAAGGCAGTAAGGAAGGCTATTACTAGCCTAACATCGTTAGAGACGCCCACAAGTCTTTGAAGAAGTGTGACAAATACCAGCTAATTAACCCTAATTAGTATGTAAATAAAATAATTAAGTAATCAATTTTGTAAGATAAAATAACTAAACATTATGAATTATAGTTTGTGCATAAATTAAAGTTTTAAATACTTTATGTTTAAATTTCAGGGTCAAATATAGGAATACCAAAAAATACAGGGTAATTTTACAAGACTTGAAACTATGAAGGACTAAGGTGTAATAAAGAAACATGGACAAATCAGAAGGTGACACTTGGCAAGCCCAAAGTACGACACCTAACACCACTGCAAGGCTTAACATTTTAGAAGGTAAAGGTGGGGGTTAGGACCCCTAACCTTTTGGAAGGTGGAGGAGGGGGTTAGGACCCCCCTTCTTGGCCGAAATTTTCTCCCCCCCTATAAATAGGGGTCTTCACCTCTTACTTGAAAGCATACCATTCCAAGACCCATTCTCCTCCCTTTCAAAATTCAGCTGACCACCAAGGCTCCATAGAGAGAAAAGAGAGGAAAGAAAAGAACGAAAAAGAGAGAGAGAAATCTGACACCGGTCCGTGATACACTTTTACCATTACATTGTATTTCTATATTTCTGTAGTATCTTTCTATTCGGATAGTTGAACTGCCGCCACTTTTTTTGTCTTGAATGATAATAAAGGTGGTTGTGTTTCAATTGTTCCTTGTGAAAGAAGTTTTATTTTTAGTTGTAATGAATATTACCCACACTCCTTGCTTGTCTGTAGCAATGGAGCGTGAGTAGTCGTTTATACCCTCCAGTGCAAGGGGAACATATGTATATTATTGTTTAGATTATGGAAATGCTGATGTCTTATTTATATTTTATTTATCTATGTATTATATGCTTAATGCGTGATACAGTGATGTGCATAATTCCGGTGTTGTACCTTGAATTATGTCATCAGTGCATCATAAGACCTGTCGGTTAAACAACCACGTCATTCCTACCGATATGGCTTGTCCTCCACAGGAATGCTGAGGATGTTTAACTGGTATATATATATATATATATATATATATATATATATATCACAGATGACCTATTGGGTAATTCAAGTATTTCTCATGAATGGCTCGACCTTCTAGTTTACTTGAATTAGTCAATTGGTACGTCTATAACCAGCTTTCCTAAGAAGTTGTTGTATTATGCTATAATACCACCAGTTAACCTAAGACGTGGTTGAGTTATGGTTTTTGTACGCACTTATAATCATGAGATCAAGTGAATAACTCAAGTATTCCTCATGAATGACTTGTCCTTCTGGTTTGCTTGGGTTAATCAATTGACGTGGATATAACCAGTTAGCTTAAGAAGCGATTGTGTTATGATTTATTAC